AGAAGATGGTGGCGCTGTTTTCTCAGGCAGCTTCCCTGAGCTACCCAGAGTCTAGGCCTTCTGACAGTGCCTTACGTACTTGATTTTTCATTTGTTTCTTTTTTTCTCATAGGATAGATAATGTGTGTAGAGAGTTCCTATCGCATTTTGCCCGCCAAGAACAATGTCTGGGCACACAAAAGAGACTCAAACACTTGCCAGATCCACGAGTAAACACAGAACACATTTTCATCTTAAAAGTCTGCTTAGATGTCACTGTTAGAGACATAAAATTATAATTTTAATTTGAATTATATAGTTAATTAGATCAGCGCATGTTTCTTTGCTCCAGTTATCAAGAAAAGTGTTTCTTCACACGGGCAATACATATTCATTAATTTTTGTTAAATACTTAGCTTACAATGGATGTGTGGTGACTATATTTTTTTTAAATAGAGGGCCTGCATGTATAAGCTATTACATCTTTTGATGTGCAACCATCAAACTAGATCCAACTGTCTCTCGGCAGTGAAATGGGTTGTTTTAAATATAATGAGAAATTTTGCATCCCAAGGATCCGTTTTCATTAATGAATCAGAATGGGGGGGGATTTTTCCAGAGTCTGAGAGCCCTAGCCTAGAAAAAGTGTGTATAATTAGCATTTTGCATTTTACTTTATTTTCAATTCCATTTCTGTATGTGTGTTGTCTGTGTAATGGACTCTGAGCCTGTGTGCCTTGCTCTTGAGTGCAGGTGCCTGTGGAGGTCAGCAGGGGGCGCCAGATCAACTGACCCTAAGGTTATAGGCAGTTAAGGAACCTAAACACGGGGGCCGGTGTAGTGATATCTCATTTGTATTTTAATAAATAAAGCTTGCCTGAAGACCAGAGAGTAAAACAGCCCCACTGGTCAGCCTTACAGACCAGGCAGTGGTGGCACACACCTTTAATCCCAGTAGCCACACTAGTTAGCTATAGAGGCTGGGTGGTGGTGGTGCACGCCTTTAATCCCTGCATTAGAGAGGAATATAAGATGGGAGGAGACAGCTCTCAGTCTCATTCTGAGGATTCATTGAGCCACAATCACTCTTCCAGTCTGAGGATTTCTTACAGGTAACAGCTCTCTAGTGGCTTGGCTGCTTTGCTTTTCTGATCTTCAAGTTGAACCACAATATCTGTCTCTGGGTTTTTATTAATCATGCTACATGCTGGAAAGAGCACTTAGGCCTTCTGGCACGCCCTGTCCTAACTCCTAACTGCTGAGCCAGTGCCTCTCTGCGTATCTCACACTGATAATTGTACCTACTGTAGAGTTCTAGTTTTGCTGTGGCTGTCACTTTACGGCGATACTCAGAATGGTTAAGGCTTCAAGTTCGAGCCTGCTTATTCCGAACCCAAATGCAAGAGGCCTTGTTTCCTTCAACAGCTATGTAGTTTGTGCTAATATTGTTACTCTCCGGAGAACCGCTCTTCTGCAAAGCGTGTTAGGTTAGCGGGGAAGCACCGAGGGGCTGAGCGGCTGGTCAATCAGCGGTTTCTGCATCTCCCGGCCATTTAGCGTGTGTCTGATTTCAGTAATTGGATTCAGTTGATTACATTTATGCCGATATCAACAGATCTATTTCATTTCAGAGATTTACAAATAGCTGCTGAAAGCTGAACACACTCGGACTTGAGTTGGCTGGCGGGGCTTTGTGCAGGTTCAAATATTTAGGTAGGACCAGAAGAGATGTTTATGGATTTATTGCTTATATTCTACGTGACTATTCATAAATAATAAATACCAGTCAAAGGCTTGTTAAATATTGTAAAAACAATACTTTTCGAAATGAAGTGAAAAAAAATCTGCATTTCGCAGGCATTGTTTTCAGTTGGACTGTCGTGTTTGGAACCTGTGAAGAGGAAGTACGCTCTGCCGTGAACTCAGTCAACAATGCAGTGATAGACAGCCAGGCACTCAGGGGCTTCTCTCCACTCAGCAAGAGCTGCTAGCAACAGCTCCTCCTGTCTTCCTCACGCACACATCAGACCGTAGCACACAGCATCCTGCTAAGGCTGTGTGGAGTTGAAACTATGCACTGGTCTAGGCTTTAAACCTTTATCCACTAAAACATTTATAAACACAGGATCTAAAATAAGTAGCTGTGATCTGTCCAGTGGTCTGTTTCTATTGCAGAAACATTAAATGGGTCAATGGCATTCTAGATGCTGTCTCTGAAGATGTTTTGTTTGGCTGACTAGGACTTACATGCTTATAAGGGATTTCAATGCTCACTCCAACATGATCCATTTGGCTACAGATTCCAGAGTATACATGTATGTGTGTGTTTGTGTGTGTGGCTTTAAAATAATTTGTGATTAAAATCGAAAGATGAGGCTTAAAATGTACAGATTATACCTCACCTTTTTTTTTTAAAGTCTGAAGACTCAGCACACTTGTGATCATGGTTTTAAGTAGCTACACACTCAAGCCTGTTAAATATAACACAGTTTGAAGGACTCCTATTTAAATAATACCTACTAAATACAAACACAGCAATGTTGTTTTACAGAATAACAATACGGAACAAAGAAGCAACGATGTCCAGCATTTAAGTATCTTAAACCACTTCAGTAGCAAGAGTGCCATTCAGAGGTAGGCTCCCAGCTAGCAGAAGGCAAACACTATAGTAGCTGGTATATTCAAGGGGGTGGAGTCCGAGCTATGAGGTCGCTTAGTCAAGGCTGGGCCATCTGCTTTCCCCTGGCATACAGTGCCAGCATCATAAATGTTGGTGCCTTCTCACTGTGTTGCAGGACAGAGTCAGAGTTCAAGCAATCACAGTGCCAGCCTAGGCTAACAGAAGTTTGGGTTCACAGCCGTAGTTAGCAGACTGTTTCTCAGGAGACATCCAGCGTGGATGAGCGTGCACAGGGATGAGTTGGTGCGTGTATATGCAAGTCTTACGGAAAGGTACTCCCTTCATATTTCACGAGTCCTAAGGACTCCTTTAATCGAGGATGACAATGGCATCATTTTTTGAAGGGCGGAGACATTACCGCCAGAAAGAAATTGCTTTTGGCTAGGGAGGTCCCCAAGCCCCTAAAACAATATCAGTGTGGCTTGTTGCCCTCCAGAGTTGAGTAAGACCCGAATGCTGAAGACATAACAAGCTCTGGTTAGAAAACACAGAAAAATCAAGGTGGACTGGGAAGCTTCCTCCGTGTGGTCCAACCCTCACAGGAAAATGTGCTATGCAGCCGCCGGGGGAGACTTGTCATCAACAGTTGTCAGGGATGTGAACCCTGCGTGCTGCATCACTGCCGGGCCGGCAAGATGTGCCCAGGAATGCAACAGTAGCAAGTCTTTTTTTAAAAATATTTATTTATTGATTTGTTATGTATACAATAGTCTATCTGTGTGTATGCCTGCAGGCCAGAAGAGGGCACCAGATCTCATTCCAGATGGTTGTGAGCCACCATGTGGTTGCTGGGAATTGAACTCAGGACCTCTGGAAGAGCAGGCAATGCTCTTAACCACTGAGCCATCTCTCCAGCCCAACAGTAGCAAGTCTTAGGGGAGAAACCAGTCACTGTCTGGTCGGAATGAACGCTCGCTCACTCCTTTCACACTCAGACGCATATGCTTTTAGTAAGGACTTACTAGAAGGCCAGAGAAAATCAGCTTTTCCCTATATCAGAGAGGGAGTGAGAACCAGAGTCCAAAAGATGCTCACTTCAACTACAGTGAGAAATAGAGGGGAAACTGGGTTTTCTTAAATGTCACCGAATTCTGTATTTTCCAATTAGGTAATGATGTAGCATGGTAGAAAGATATCAAAGGAAAGTTTCAAAGATAAAATTTTTATGATTCAATTCACTCCGACGTTCGCTTAAGATCTAATACACGGAATCACTTCTTTGTTGTAAAGGCAAGTAAGACACTACCCTGCAGTTAGTAGGAAGAGAGAAAAGTACAGTGTTCTGAGCCAGAGGCAAGTCCACGGCTTTGTTTGACGGACTATCAAGGCCCCCTATAGGCGAGATTTAGAACTTCACCCAGGAGGTGCATAAGGTTTTGAAAAATAAATCAGAAGGCAGCAGGCAGGGACCTGGGTCTGCATAGGAAATGCCCTCCGTCGGGAGCAGTGGTGTGGACAGCAAGGACATCTGAGAACAGATGAAGGCTAGAGACTCAGTAGCCACCTAGTCCTTCCGCTCCCCAGCTAAAGCCCAGCTCCCCCTCTCCACTCTCACTTTCTCTGCGCCCAGCTGATTACAGACAGGCCTCAGGTTTATTTACTCAAAGCAAGGCACAGGTGAAAGTGGGAATCGCCCCCTTTGATTCCAGGCGGGTCGGCGCTTTCAAAGTCTGTAAAAGTGCAAGCCTTGTGAAATTAGTTTCCGTTTCCCTAAGACTCGGCTTTTTATTCGTAGACAAATAAAGACAAATTCTTTCTAATTGGCAAAATCATCCAAGCTGGCCAACGGGGACTATTTTACATAACCACGGCGGAATTTTCACTCAGCAAAAAGTGGAAGTGGATCAACAATTTTCCCTTCGCCTCGAGTTTCTCCCTCTGATACTGTTGCTTTTTTATCTTTACAGATTAAGGCACCATAAATAGCGGCTTCCTGACTCCTTCCTCCCGGGCTTGTCTTTCTTTATCCACTGTCATCTGTGAGCGTTTAATCCGGCGCGTTTGCCTTTCTCCTTCCTGTTCTATTCCCCTTACTTACTGCTTAAAGGGGGATTGACTGTCCTGTTGCTGGCAGTGCCAGCTGAAAGTCAGCTCGAAATGGGGCTAGACTGGGTTCTCCCCTGCTTTCCTTCTCCGGGAGAGCTCCCCCAAACCTATCGAGAATACATAAGTAAAGCCCTGAGCCTGCACACTCGTGGGTAGGAATCGGTATTTAAGCAGTTCAAAGAGAAGCGGGTGAAACTTGGGCGTGGCCTGGCAGAAGCGGGGTTGTCCATGAGTTTTTGTGTCCCTTGGTGGCATGTTTTCTAGGTAGCCTGTAGCTTTTATGAAGTAGCCAGGGTTTGAGCTTCTAATTATTTCACTGTATGTATGTAGACGATTGGTTTATTCTAAATACAATGTTACCAGTGTTATAGTATCGTCATTTTTAGAAGGTGAAGCGAAATCTTCTGTGAAATGATTTTGTATCTCTTCGGTTTATGATATAAACAAGGCGGGTGAAAACAAAGTAGGTGAATATTCACTGGCTTTTGGTCCATTTGTCATTAGCTGATCATAGCTCATACTGTCCTAAAATATTTGAATGTGTTCCCTTTCCAGGAACCATCAACCGGCAAGTGTTTGGCTTCAGAGAAAGGGAAACTTTCAAGGTATGTAATATCACTTCTAAGCGTCTACTTTTGGAACCGATAAACATGAAGCTGTTAATAAATTGCTCACTCGTGTCTAGTAGATCACTGTTGATTCTATCAGGCCTAGCACCGCTTAAATTATACAGAGTGTGTGTCTCCCAGGCCACGGTGCCCTCCCACCCAAATAAATAGGCATTCTCACTTGGCTCTGGCTAACCAATTTAACTAACACAAAAGTCTGCTGCATAGCAGGAAATTAACTTTGATTTACTTCTGAGTTTAAGGAAGGAAAAGCTATCTCTACTACCATAATGGGTGCGCATTTAGAAAAAAAAATAATGAACGTTGATATATAAATAGCTTTGAAAATTTGTTTTCTGAATTGCTTCCTTCCTCTGCAGTGATGATCATAACACGCACCAGACATCACATTCGAAAATGTTGGCTTTGTTTGTGCCTGCCTCAGGGTCTTTGCGCCTCGTCTTGTTTTTTTTTTTTTTTTTTTTTTTTTTTTTTTTCATGATGGCGCATCTATATTAAGGCGTGTGTGTTTTTCTTACTGAGGAGATATGGCACCGTGAGGTTGCTGGGTGGGGAGTCAACAGGGCAGAGAGGTAAATTAAGGAATCGACGACGATGTCAACTCCTCTCGGAGGATTAGAACGCAACACGGGGAGCTGGTTTTGCATAATGAGAAGTCTATGAAAAGCCTCTGCCTTCTAGACCATGAAGAAGATTTGTGGTGCTGCACTGTTTTGCATGGCTCTCGCAGAGAAAGTGTGTCTTTGGAAGTGTGTCTGAGCAGTTACACACTGAAATAGTAGGCTCCACACCGTGCTTCTAGGAAAGTGTGCTGACAGGAGCCTAACCAAGATGTTCTGTGGCTAAAAATAAAAAAAATAATAACAGATTTGTCTAAACACTGATTAAAAATAAGTTAGGGAAAATACAGTTTTCCCGGAATTTTAAGCTTTCCTCTCTGTCATTTTTCTGTCATTTCTTCGGTTTGTCTACTGACAGGCATGAAGGAAAAAAAAAGACAAAATAAATGAAGCAAGAGCACATGGCCTGCAAGACAAACTGTGTGCATGCCAGTTCCTAGATGGGTGCCCTGAGTCTTTTTACACGTGAACAGTTCGATTTCCACAGCCATATTTCCTCCCAATTCTCTCCATTTCATTTCTTTCCCATGCATTTTTAATAGTGATTATAGTTTTCAGGTGTTTAAGTACTTATACACAACTGAAAAACACCAAGATAAACATGGCTATCTGCTAGTTTATATTTCTTCTTCTTCTTCTTCTTCTTCTTCTTCTTCTTCTTCTTCTTCTTCTTCTTCTTCTTCTTCTTCTTCTTCTTCTTTTTTTTTTTTGGTTTTTCGAGACAGGGTTGCTCTGTGGTTTTGGAGCCTGTCCTGGAACTAGCTCTTGTAGACCAGGCTGGTCTCGAACTCACAGAGATCCGCCTGCCTCTGCCTCCCAAGTGCTAGGATTAAAGGTATGCGCCACCACTGCCCGGCTAGTTTATATTTCTGAATATAAATTGCAAGATATTTATTTTGAAGGAGCGGGGAAATGGTGATGTTGGCCAGACTTCTACTCCTCAAGTTTTGGAAACTGAATAAAGAACGTGAAGAAAAGAGAAAAATGCCTCAGCCCCTGTCTGTATTGGGAGAGTCACTGTCAGCAAGCCAGTGGTACTATTAATGGCTGCATACCTAATTTAACTGGAGACCTTGTAGATGGCCTCTGGTTTGCATTCCATTAAGAGTTTTTAATAAGATTTCACCAAAAAAATAATAATAAAAGCATCTCACTTCACCTTTGCTTCTCCTTAACAATTCAAAGTATCAATTATAATATAACCTTCATTTGACTTGCAGACACCCCGGTCTCAACAGCATATTAAATTGCATGCCCATGCTTTAAGTGCAAAATAAATGTCTTGCTTTATCTTGTAACTTTAGTTTCATCTCAAAGCGACCTCTCAAATGTATAACACTCAGCTACACTTTATGGAGAAAGCAATTTTTCTAAACGTTAGGCATTTTTTAAAAGCTTAAGGATGCATTTTGGTCACAGTCTTAAAGAAGAGGGACGGTCTCTTCCGGCATGCTCTCTCTTTTAATGGGCTCACACGGATGCTATTCTGAGGACAGAACAACCGCTCTCTGTCTACCCGCCGTATTCTAGGGAGGCCTGACCTCAGGGCTCATAGAAAAAAAAAAAAAAAAAAGCAGGCTGAAGCCTAGTATCAAAGAAAGACAAGCTTTACAGACGCTTCCAGAATTCTCGACTCCTTTCTAGAAGGGCGCAGATTAATATAGGAAGTAATAGAATTCGAGAACTACAACTGAAAACATCGAGGAAAAGCTAAGGTGAAAACAGGGAACCAAGTGGCATCTCAGAGCAGACTCCATAGTTGCTAGACAAGGTCGCCCACACCCTTGCTTCGTCAGTTATCAGAGCAAATAAAGCTAAAATATCTTTCTCCCCAGCAGTATTTTCCAGTGTTCTGCAAAGGATTAAATCCCGGTCCCTTTCTGAGGAGTGGATGGGGGTGGGTTGCGGGGAGATGGGGGGAGGGGGAACTGTGGTTGGTATATAGAATGAATTTAAAAAATAAAATAAAATAAATTCAAAAAGTAAAATAAAATAAAATAAATAGTGCCTGATTTTTTTTTTTTTTTGTCCCAAAGAGGGCTGTTTATTAAGGAAGTGCCTCTCTTCTTCCCCCGCCCCCCAGAGCTCATAACTCCTGGAGAACAAAATCATGGGGGTGTACGGCCTCCGGTGGCCCAGGTGAGGCAGTTTGTCTGTAGGTTTATAAATGATTCAGCATAATATGTTTTTAATTTAACTTGACATGTAGGAAATGATGCAGGATTTGTAGTGTGTTTGCCATCAGTAAATAACCATCACTGTTTGTACCTTGGAGATGACCACGCCTCCACAGCAACCTTTGATACCCAAAAGAAAAATGAGCCAGAATATGATACGGATAAGTGGTCACAGTGCAAATAGCACCCATCTAAAAGGATCTAGGCACTCATTTCTTTAATTATTGTTTTAAACAAGCTACATCTTGACTGTGTATGACATATATCAAAATAAATGGGATTAAAGTCTTGAATTTCCTTTCTGAAAAATATTTAACTTTTAAATCAGGTTAATAAATTGGGGAATATGGCAAATAAAAGCCAAAGATGCATATACATATACTCTATACTCATATACATGTACATACACATATGTGTATATATATGTGTGTGTGTGTTTGTATATAAAGTGTGTGTGTATGTATGTATATATGTGTGTGTATGTATGAATATAAAATAGATGGCTCAGTGATTAAGAGCATTGCCTGCTCTTTCAAAGGTCCTTAGTTCAATTCCCAGCAACCACATGGTGGCTCACAACCATCTGTAATGAGATCTGGCGCCCTCTTGAGGAAGAGACCTGCTCAGTCGTCCTCATCAGCTTAGACCACGAAACCCAAATGTTCAACCGAATTGCCATCTGCAGGCTGCCCATGTATGCTTCAGCCTTGCCAGGGCAACAGTTTCATTCATTTCATGCATATAAAGTACCTACACCTTGAGGGATGAGTATGTCGATTGATGCTGAGTCAAAAATGTTTAGAACCAGATGACAAAGTAACAAACACAAATCAAGATCTAAGTGTTGGAGAGAGGCTGCTTGTTCTTCCCAGATGCGGGGCTAGCTTAGACCCAAAATAATCACATTGGAAGTGCATTAATTATATCACTGCTTGGTCCATTAACTCTAGCTTCTTATTGACTAACTCTTACATATTAATTTAACCCATTTCTATTAATCTGTATATCACCATGTGGCTGTGGCTTACCAGGTAAAATTCCCAGCTTCTGTCTCCAGCAGCTCCAGGGAGTCTCTCCCCTACTCCGCCTTCTTCCTCCCAGTATTCAGTCCAGTTCTCCCCCCTCCCTCGCCTACCTTAGTTCTGCCCTATCAACAGGCCAAAGCAGTTTCTTTATTCATTAACCAATAAAAGCAACACATAGACAGAAGGACCTCCCATACCATCTAAGAGGGATTTAGCCAAGAACTAGCAGCTTGGAGGATTTGAAGACCATCCCTTTAGGTATAGAATTTGTGGTGTTCCTGTGCCCCAGATTGAAAGAATCATGGCATATTGAAGACCATTTTTGAAAATGACTATGGCTAGAGCTGAAATGGACAGGAGACAGAAAGATGAAGTTCATGGAGTTTGTCAGATGCGTGACAGCAGGTGCCACCCTCTGAGTGTTGAGGTGCCAGCATGTGTGTGACTTGTTCTTCCCCAGTGGGCTGGGGAGAGGGATTTCAAATACAGACAGAGTGCTGTCAGATGGAGACAGACAAGCCTCAGGGATATGAAACTTACGTGAAGAGGTCAGGTGTCTTCAGCAATTGAAAAAAATCACCAACAAAGAAATCTCATCTATCATATAAAAACTTGATTCTTTCAAAATTTCTTTGTTAGCATTTTATTACCATCATAATGTAGATTGTAGAATAAGAAAATATAACCTGGTCGTTTTCATTTTGCTCATTTTTAGACTGGATTATCACTGCTGTGCATCCCCCCCCCCCCATGAATCTGGACCAGTGCTGGCTACTCAAGAACTATCGGGAAGGGAAGCAACAGCTCTTATATCAGCAAGTTCACGGAGGGTTCCACAGGTAGCCCCAGGTCCTGTGGTAATTGTTAATCTGTTGTTGCCTCTCTGCAGTCACAGAGATGTAGGTTGGCTCAGGCATCTCAAGCTCCCAGTAGCCCTCCTCTATCAGTTCCTCTGAACCAGTATTGGGTGGGCATGCAGTCCCACTGAAATGGAAGTCACAATGTGAGCCATGTTCCTCATTGAGGCAGGGGGTGATGAGAGACAGATGTGTACTCCATTTTAGTCTTGTGTGGTTTAGTTTGCCCTTGAGAGCTCCAGCTTATCCTTGTGTCTTATTTGTTTCCTATGCAGGCCCAATTCCTGACTGCTGACTTTGGTGGCCTATAACAGCACCAGGTACAGAGGCACCATCTTTTCGTGTCCTGTTTCATCAGTTCCCAGCTATGTTATTAAGAAAATGTTCTGAGTTGGTAACCTTATAGTGGTTCTGTTGGGATGGGGCCCTTATAAGAGTAGCTGATGCGTCTAAACTGGGATGTTAGTGTTTTTTCCTGCTCTATCTCTTAGATAAAAAAAAAAAATGTCTTCTGAGATTTATGTCCTGGACCAGACATGTTTATGTATATTTTGTATGGGAGTTCTTCTTTCTCCTCCTCCTCCTCCCCTCCTCCTCCTCCTCCTCCTCCCCCCCCCCCCCCCCCCCCCCCCCCCCCTCCCCCTCCCCCCCCCCCCCCCCCCCCCCCTCCTCCTCCCCCTCCTCCTCTTCTTCTTCTTCTTCTTCTTCTTCTTCTTCTTCTTCTTCTTCTTCTTCTTCTTCTCCTTCTCTTTCTTCTTCTATACTTATTCATAAGGTCGTGGTTTTTAAAACATCCCTTTAATGTTCATTAGTTAGCAATAATAATCTTCATTATTTATATCTACTCTTTTCCAGTACTTAATGCTGTTTATCACATTAAAGCAATACTATGAAATAAGTCACCCTAAGTCATCTGTTGGCTCTACACATGTTATTAAGTTTGGATAATAGAAAAGAAGCAAGAAAGTGCTTGGTTTGGTCTGTTCAGGTGCTTACTCCCTTTTGAACAAGTTCTGTTTCACCTGGTCTTAATTAGCATATATATTTTGATTTATATGGCTTCTTCATTACTTGAATATAGTCTAAGTGCCATTCCCATGTCTATAGCAGAGATAGGTACAAGGACAAATTATTCCTTTAACAGCAGTGCTGATGCTTTGATCTCACATGGCCAGCCTTCCCACTTGAATATGCGAATGTCCACTACCATGAAGATGTCTGAATCCAGGGCTGTATATTCCATGTCTCTCTGTCTGGCCATAGACTTTTTTCCCCTTTCTTATTCTAACTAAATCAACACCAGGTCCTTCGCACCTCTTGCCTAGAAGTATTTTAAGAAATGCTCTGTTTCTCTTTGGAGAGAGATGAGGCGATAATGGGAAGGCCAAAAGGACAGAAGTCCAGCTTCCTGTGAAGCAGAACTGACCTTCCAGTAAGAGATGCACAACTTTCTGATTAGGTTTGTCTTTCTGTTTTTCAAAAATGATTGGGTCTAAGAGTGAGAAGGAAGACATTGTTTCTGTCAAAAATCAGAGGGTTTGGGCTACATTTTAAAATCTGGTTTCATTGGCCAGTAAAATATTTACAGGTGTTGGTAGTTTCTTATCTATCTATCTATCTATCTATCTATCTATCTATCTATCTATCTATCCATATCTTTCTATCATCTATCTATCCATCCATTTATTATCAATCTATCATCTACATATTACCTATCTATCTCTTTTCTATCTACTACCTACCTATCATCTATCTGTCATATACCCATATGTATTTTTGTTATTATAATAATTCTATTAGATATAGTAACTAGTAATTATGTTTACCTGGGAGATGCTCCTTCTAAGTACTTTGTACCCTTTTTCCATGATGCCTTAGAGTATCTGAATTTTGGACCTGCGACATCTGTATACTCTAGAAGAATGAATGACTCCCACTGATTAAGCATAACCACAAGATTCAAAGTGAATAAAGACATATTAAAAAAGATTAACACCCAATAAAGTCTTTCCTTTGAAATTCTGTGGAGGAACAAAGAACACTGCATGGAGGAGGATTGGGGTGAACACAGGATTAGCTCAGATGTACTTGTGACAGTTGCAAATCTCCTGTGCACTTACTCACTATTACTAAAGTAAATATTGCCATATTTTTTTCTTCGTGGAAGGATTTCAAATGCATTTCTCATACATAGGGTTTTCCATAATTGATTTATCATAAATACTGAGTGGATTATATTTTATGACTACTTCCTGCTCTTCGTTTTTACTACAAGCCGCATGAAGTCAACAGGGGCAGTATTAAGCCTGCACATCACTTCAGCTTAAATACTGCATGTGTAACATTCAGGAGGGTTCATCACTACTGTGTTTCCTTTGTTTTGTCTTTTACATGGCGGCTCTTGCCTTTTCACTTAACTTCAGAGTTAAGCTGGGAAATTTATCAAATTAAATGGAAGGTTTTCTAGTCCATATTAGGCACCGCAGAGCTGGGGTAGAGAACACAGAATGAAATTTTAAGATAGATACTGGAAAATGAAGTTCAAATTTTGAGTCAGAATTTACCTCATTTATTTACTCATCATTATCTATATTTTCTTTTAGCAGAATTCACCTATCTTAGACTTGTAGATCAAACAAGTATTCCAACATTAAATTCATTAAATTAAAAATAGCCATTGTAATCTCAGCACACGTCGTTGAGGCTGCATGCCTGTGTTCTATGAGCTAAGGAAGATGAATAAAAGTGTTGCCTGTTGAATCATTTAATTTTGAGCCTGTTCTCTGCTTTCCTTATTTCTTGTCCAATAGTTCAGCAACAGCATTTTCTAGTCTGCGCCTCTTTCTCCAGCAGTGAGTGTCGGTGGAGGAGGACTAGGCCACTTCTTTATGCAGCAGAGTTTTCTAAATTAAGTTCCCTGCATGGATAATTTCTTATATCCACGGGGCCCTGAGCTGGCTGTGTGGCTGGGAGAAGATTAATGGAAAGTAGGGGCCTGGACCAAGAGGAAGTGGATGAGGATACCACCGCCTTGACTGTGAGAAGCAGACAGATGCCCAGATGAAGGGAGACAATCCAAAGTTGACTCACTCCAGACTAAATCATTGGTATGGAGGCTATGCCTTGCTAGTCAGTGAAAAATTCAGATTTCAAGCTATCCTGGACACTGTGTTGGTGACCGTGGAGCGCTGATGGCTGTTTTGAATGAATGATGCCCACCTTCCGGGGACTCTTAATGATATGTTCAATTTCAGTGGAGGCTCTTCTATTGAGCTTTTGAATTATTGATCAGAAGATAGTAGGAATGTTCCAACAACCAAGTGTGAAGTTTCTGGCTAAGTTCGCGCTGGGTAAGGGCTTACCGGAAGCAAAAGTTCAGCACAGAGAGGAGCCTGTTTGACGGTACGGTTCTTTGTAAACAAGCTCAAAGCGAAACATGGGAAGCAGTCCATTTAACTCCAAGGATGGTGGAAACCTTTCAGCATTAACTATGAAGGGCAGGGGCCGTTTTTCTGTGTCACAAAAAGAAAACCTTCACCGTCTCATCACAAGGTATAAAATTCAGAACCTGCATATTAGTTTTTTCCAACGGGGGAAGCGATTTGTCCCACAGCGAGAGGAGAGTCTAGCTGGAAGCAAGGCGCTGGATTTTGGCATGTCTCTTTCTTGAACTGGAAGATCTGCAAGTATGTAAACAGATCTTCGAGCTTCCTTCCTCTAGGTGTGGCGGCCTGAAATGGGACAGGATGTGGGATGGGTCCTGGCTTGAATGGCCAGGACAAGACAAGCCACAGGGAGGTACAGCGGCTGATGCAGGGCCCGGGCAAGGCACAATTGCTTTTGTAGCAGAGCACAAAGAGAAAAAAAAATCCACTCCCAGCTGAACTATTTAACCAACCCATTTGTTTTTAAACTGCAGTTGAACTGTCGTTTGGGCAGTCATACATCCTTCCATAAAACACGGAGAAAACTTAATGGCTTTACGGCCGAAATGCTGGTAAGCAATTGGTAAAGAAATAAATACAAACACGGCTTGGGAACTTCTAGCTCCCTCTTACCCCAAGGCCTTGGCTGGCTCTCTCCTTGCTCGGCTCCCAGGGTCATAAACTCAAACGATAAACGTCATCCCTCTCTTGAATACATATTATCTCAACAGATATTTTATTGTAACTAAATGGACCGCCTTGAGGACACCAGTGAGTCTGCTTCTGGACTTGGCGGGGGAGGGAGGGGGACAGAGAGTTTTGCTTTGCTTGGGAGGAAGAAGCAAAAGCTGAAGAAAAAAGACAAGGGTGGAGGCGGGTGCAGCCCTCCGGTGGCTCAGCGTGGGGACTCTGCGGCTATAATAGATGGCTATGTGTCAGTGCGCATTAATATTTGATGAACATTGCCGTATTATCTTTTATGTGCGCTTCCACACTATGGCGAGGCAGCGAGGTTGCTTTAGACCAGGATTTATACGGGCAAGCGCAGTGGCTTTTACTTGGCAAAATTAGCACACATCCTGCTCTTAACGACGTCAAAAGGGGACGCTTCTGTTTATATTGAATAAACATGCAGAGGCTGGGTCCAGCCTTCCTTAAAACACTATTACCGTGAGCGCATAAACAAGGCGGACACAATAGTTTCTCGTAAATGGCACACTGAGGCGTTCTGTGCTCTGCTCCCTGGAAACAAAGATTCCATTTCTGTCATTATGAAAGACCCCTGAAACCGATACGGAAGTGAAAGCTTTGGCATTGTGGAGAGACCAGTGAAGAAAACGGAAGAAAAATGCTTAGATCTACAAAGGCTCTTGCTTGCTTTTTTTCATTTCTTTTTCTGAAAACTGAGCACAAGGTCTGGGAAGCATTATTTGTCCAGACAAAGCCTGGCCAAAAGGGCAAGCCATTAAAAGGGTGCAGCCCCCCCCGACACCATCGCAAAACAGACCAGAAAAAAAAAGACCAAACCCAAACCCAAAATACC